CGTGGCACGTGGGGACCACATGCCAGGCCCAGCTGGGTCCTGCCACCCTTGGGCCCCTCTGGCACCTGGCCGGGCCATTCCCATGCTGGCAGGACCCAGCTTGGCACACGGAAACTGCGTGTCATGCCAGGTTCTGCTGCCATGGACCCAGCTGGGCCAGGCCGGGCAGCAGGAGCAGCCCCAGGACTGGCAGGACCCATCTGGTTGCAGTGCACGGTCCCCGCCTGACGTGCTGGGTCCTGCCGCCCTGGGAATGGCCTGGTCAGGTGGCAGAGGGGCCCCAGGACCCAACTGGGCCTGGCACGTGGTCCCCGCATCCTGCTCTGGGTCCTGTCACCATCGCCTGGCCCTGTCAGGCGGCAGAGAGGCCCCAGGGCTGGCAGGACCCAGCTGGGCCTGATGCGCTGTCTCTGCATGCCACACCGGGTCCTGCTGCCATGGCTCAGAGTGCCCCACTCCTGCTGCTGCTGCTGCAGGTAAGTTATGGGCCCTGGGCAGGGGGGCTGTGGCCCTCCAGGGGGAAGCTGGGAGCCTGGGCAGGGGGGCTGGGGCCTGTGGGGGATAGGGGCTATGGCCTTCCAGGGGGGAGCTGGGGCCCTGTGGGGGGGGTCATTCCATGTGCTATGTGGGGGGGCTGTACCCTGTGGGGGCCAGGGGACCCACCCCTCCTGGGCAGCTCCCCCGACACCCACAGTCCCCCCAGCAATAGCCCCACACCTACCCACACACCAATCCACATCCTTCCACACACACCTACCCGCCTTCCCCCACACCCCTTCCCAACCCCTTCCCACAAACACCACATCCCCCCATCACACACCCATCATGTGCGAAGAAAACCAAAAGCACACATCAACACATATACATTTTTAGAATTTATTTTATCATAATGATAGAGACACTGGTAGGCTTCCACATTGCTTTAACATTGTAAAACATATACCAATAAAGCATTGCCCAACTGATCGCTCTCGGTCTCTCTCTCTCTATAGATATATATATATATGTTTGTGTACGTGTGTGTATAGAGTGGTCTTTTGTTTTAATTGTGGAAAAACATGGATTTGGGGGGATTTTAAAAAATGGATTTGGGATGTTGCTGCAGCAGTCCAGCTGGCACAAGGGGTAGTGTCCCTAGGTACCAGTTGGCTGGGCCCCAGAAGCTCCTGAGAGCGAGTAGCCCTGAGCTGCTTGTCATGGCAGGTTTTTGTACTGCTGGGGCCAGGACAGAGCAGCTTTTTACACTGCTGGGGACAGCACAGGTGCTGACCCCGGGCTCTAGCTCCCCCTGGCTGCAGATCCGGGAGGAGGCAGGCAGGGTTGTTTTGCCCCAAGTAGCACAATTTGCTCCACAACAAAGTGCATGTCAGAGCATGTGCGTTCAATGGGCACGTCCACGCATGCAAGCACTTGTGCTTGCAGCAGCCCAAATAGGGGTGGTGCAAATTTGAGCCGGGGCTTTTTGCCTTAGCGCACGTGCTCGGACATGCACTTTGTTGTGGAGCAAATTGTGCCACAAAATAACCCTGCCTGGCTCCTCCCATATCTGCAGCCAGGGGGAGCTAGAGCCCAGGGCCAGCACCTGTCCTGGCCCCAGCAGTACAAAAAGCTGCCCTGGCCAGCAGCTCAGGGCTACTCACTCTCAGGAGCTTCTGGGGCCTGGCCACTTGGTACTTGGGGACACTACCCCTTGTGCCAGCTGGACTGCTGCAGCAGCATCCCAAATCCATTTTTAAAAATACCCCAAAATCCACATTCTTCCACAATTAGAACAAAAGAGAGAGACAAAGGGGGATTGATCAGATGGGCAATGTTTAATTGTTATATTTACAATGTTAAAGAAATTTGGAAGCCTATTAGTGTCTCTAGCATCATAAAAAAATAAATTCTAACTATCTATATGTTTTAATGTTTGCCTTGGGTTTCCTTATCACATGATGGGTGTATGATGGGCATGTGGGGTTTGCAGGAGGGCGTGGTAAGGGGGTGGGAGGATGTGGGTGGGTGTGGAGGGATGTGAGTCACTGTGTGGGTAGGTGTGGGGGGACTGGGTGTGGGGGCTGCTTACAAAGGGTGGGTCCCCTGCATGAACACCACAAGCCCCTGGTAGCTGGCAGGGCACCATGGTGCTGGTGGCAGTGGGAGCATGGTGGCAGTGGTAAGTGGGAGCTCCCGCAGACACCCTTGGGACTGTCAGCAGCAGGGGGAGGGGTGGTGAGCAATGCGCACCCACAGATACCACTGGCAGTGACAGCGGTGGCCAGTAGCGATCACTGACTGCCCGCAGACACCACTGGCAGTGGGGGATGGCAAGCGGCAACCGCCTACAGGCACCACTGACAGTGTTGGCAGCACCTTTTCTGAGGGGGCGCACTGCCATGCTCAGGGAGTGCCTATGCATCGCCAATGGTCCCCTGCCCCACAAGGGCAGAGCCCCCCCCCCAGCACATGGACTACCCTGCCTGCAGGGTCCCAGCCCTGCCCAGGGGCCACAGGTTCCTGCCCCCACACTGGTCTCCAGCCTCCTGCTCATTCCTCTGCTCTTCTCCAGCCTCTGCCCTGACCCAGACCGTGCCCTGACCCAGTTTTTTCCCTAGGGTTTTTGTTTGACCGGGTCTAATTTTCTCCCTGCGCTGCAAGTTTGCAGCGCAGGGAACATTTTTTCATTCCTGCATGTGCCTCTTGCCCGGCCTCAAAGGGGTTTGAGACAGGGCTAGAGGCACGTGCGTGCTTGTCTGGACACATCCACTGAGTGCACAGCAAGAATGTTGCTCACTTAGTAAGTGGCTATTGAATACTTTATTTTATCCTCATTCTTCATTGTAGGGGCCTTTTTCCTTATTTATTGCAAAATATTCAAATCCTACTCTGAGGACAGAATTGTTAACGTCTGTTTTGGGCTTTTCTCTAACACTCATCACACACACTTTTACATAGCCCCATTTTTTAAGGGAGCATTGTTTTTTACCATTTTACAGGTGGGGGAAGTGGGGCTCAGAGAGAGTAAGCTAAAAATATCTCCTAATTTCGGTGCCCAGTTTGAGAGATCTAGTAGTACCTGATGTTTTTCAGAGCACTTAGGATAATACATCATTTAATACCATCAGAGCATGGCTATGTGGGTTTTAAGATAAACAAAATAATATATTTAATTAGTCTTATTCTTAGAAATGGATTAATTGCTTTGGTTGATTCTGAAACAAAACAAATGAAACACCATCAACCCCCAAATTATTCTGAGGTAGGCAAGAGATGTGTTATTACATGGTTAGTCTGGCAAAGTT